TTTGCATCTCTTGGATGATTATTGACTTTGAGCATGTTTTCATATGTCTCTTGGCCTTCTGAATGTCCACTTTTGAAAAGTGTCTATTTAAGTCCTTTGCCCATTTTTTGATTGGACTTTTATCTTCCTTTTGTTAAGTTGTATGAGTTCCCTGGGAGATTAGGCCCTTATCAGATATAACATTGGCAAATATGTTCTCCCATGCATGAGCTTTCTTGTTGTTTTGTTGATGGTTTCTTTTGCTGTGCAGAAGCTTTTTATTTTTATGTAGTCCCATTTGTGTATTTCTCCTTAGTTTCCATTGTCCTAGGAGCTGCTGTATGGGTAAAGATATTGCAACGACATATGTCTGATATTTTGCTGCCTATGGATTCTTCTAAGATTTTTATGGTTTCTCATCTTATGTTTAAGTCCTTTGTCCATTTTGAGTTTATTTTTGTGTATGGTGTAAGTTGGTGGTCTGGTTTCATTAGAAAGATCATACACCATGACCAAGTGGGATTTATTCCAGGGATGCAAGGCTGGTACAATATTCGCAAATCAATAAACGTGACACATCACATAAACAAATTGAGAGACAGTAATCACAATCATATCAATTGATGCAGAAAAGGCATTTGACAAAATCCAACACCCATTCCTGATAAAAACTTTCAGCAAAGTGGGAATATAGAGATCAGACCTCAACATAATAAAAACCTTACATGACAAACCTACAGCCAACATCATACTCAATGGGCTAAAACTAAAATCATTTCCCTTAATAATGGGAACAAGACAGGGATGCCCACTTTCACCACTCTTGTTTGACATAGTACTGGAAGTGCTAGCCGTAGTGACCAGACAAGAAGAAAAATAAAAGGCATCTCCAAATTGGAAAAGAAGAATAAAACTGTCATTTGCAGATGACATGATATTGTACATAGAAAACCCTAAAGACTCCACATCAAAAAACTACTATACTTAATAAATGAATTTGGCAATGTAGCAGGATACAAAATTAACACCCAGAAATCTATGGCTTTTTTATACACCAATAATGAACGCACAGAAAGATAAACTAAAAACAATTCTATTTACCATTGCAACAAATAAATTAAGATACCTACGAATAAACTTAACTAAGGAGGTAAAAGACCTGTACTTGGAAAATTACAGGGCATTGAAAAAAGAGATAGAGGAAGACATAAACAAATGGAAGAATATATTGTGTTCATGGATTGGTAGAATCAACATCATTAAAATGTCCATACTACCCAAAATGATCTATACATTCAATGCAATCCACATTAAAATACCAATGACATATTTCACAGACCTAGAGCAAACACTCCAAAAATTCATATGAAATAAAAAAAGACTCCAAATAGCCGCAGCAATCCTGAGAAAGAAGAACAACGTTGGAGGGATCACAATACCAGATATCAAGCTATATTACAAAGCCATTGTTCTCAAAACTGCCTGGTACTGGCACAAGAATAGGCATATAGATCAATGGGACAGAGAACCCAGAAATCGACCCAAGCCATTATGCTCAATTAATACTTGACAGAGGAAGCAAGAGCATACAATGGAGTCAAGACAGTCTCTTCAATAAATGGTGTTGGGAAAATCAGACAGATACATAAAAAAAAAAATTCTAGAACATTTTCAACACCTACAAGATAAACCTCATACCCATTAATAATCACTATAAATTCTTAATCTTGCTCCACTTCACCTCTGGCAACCACTAATCTACTTTGTTTCGATGGATTTGCCAGTTCTGGACATTTCATTTAAATGGAATCATACAATATACATGGCCTTTCATTTCTGTTTTTTTTTTCCACTGATCATATTTTTGAGGTTCATCCATGTAGCATGTATCAGTATTCATTACTTTTTAAGACTTAAGAATATCCCATTTTATGAATACATCACATTTGTTTATCCTTTATTCAGTTGATGGACATTTAAGTTATTCCTACTTTTTGGCTTTTATGGGTAATGCTGCTATGAGCATCTTCTATAATAATAAAAGGGTAATATGCTAATTAGATTGGACAGATGAAAGACCTTCTGGACTTCATTCTGGATGTCCTTCTGGACGAAGCTGCAGCGTCGGGGGCCGAGGCAGAGGTGGCTAGTGGAGATCAGGCAGGCAGGCAGGCAAGCAGTTAGGAGTGATCAGGCAGGCCCGCAGAGTGGTTAGGGGTGATCAGGCAGGCAGAGGCAGGGGTGATCAAGCAGGCAGGCGAGCAGTTAGGGGTGATCAGGCAGGCAAAGGCGGTTAGGGGCGATGAGGCAGGCAGGCAGTGGTTAGGGGTGATGAGGCAGGCAGGCGAGCAGTTAGGAGCCAGAGGTACCGGATTGCGAGAGGGATGTCCGACTGCCAGTTTAGTCCTGATCCCGCAGGGGCAGTCGGATATCCCCCAAGGGGTCCAAGATTTCGAGAGGGTGCAGGCTGGGCTGAGGGACCTCCCCTCCACCCCCCATATACAAATTTCATACACCGGGCCTCTAGTTCATATATAAGTATTTTGTGGGCATATGTTTTAAATTCTCTTGGGTATATACCTAGAAGTGGAATTGCAGTCATATTACTTTTTAAGGAACTGCCAAACTCTTTTCCAAAGTGTTGGTTTTCTTTTTTTGGGGAATGGTACCAAATTACTTTATTTGAAGGAATGGTACAAATGAAAGACATGAGTGGATGGTATGATACTAGTTATAGAAAAAGTAATGGCAACTCCAGCATGCACATATTGCTTTGATGACCAGGCAAGTCACCTCCTTGGCTATGGGAAGTCAGCTTAAGGCTTAGCTCTCATCACTTTCCCAAGGTGTGCTTGTCAAAGAGATATTCTGCCATGTCAGTTTTAGAGGCCTCCCTGTGCAAGTTGGCTACGTGGTCACCCAATTCTTTGATGGATTTCACCTGCTCATTCTGGTAGTGAGTCTCAAAGAAGTCACACAAGTGAGGGTCATTTTTGTCAGTGGCCAGTTTGTGCAAAGTACAGTAGTGACTGATTCACTTTCTTTTCCAAGTGTCATGGTGGGCAGCTAAGGAGAGGGGGCTGTGCAGCACTGGAGTGGTGGTGGGGGCCTTGGGATGTCCAAGGGCACTGAGAGGAGGTGGCAGAAGGCTGGATCTGAACAGCGGGCTGCGTTGGTCGAACTCCCCATTCTGTCCAAGCACTGTTGAAGCAGGAAACCCGTGGCCACTCTGCAAAGACTGTCCAAAGTGTTTGTTTTCTTATTGTCTGGTGTTGAGAGTTCTTTAGATATTATGAATACAAGCTCTTTTCCAGATATGTAACTGGAAAATATGTTCTCTCACTCTTTTTCCGGGCTTGTCTTTGCAAAGCAAAAGTGTTAAATTTTGATCAAGTCCAGTTCATTAAAAATTTTTGAGTCATTCTTTTGATTGTGTATCTATGAAATCTTTGCCTAACCTGAAGTCATAAAGATTTTCTCCTACATTTTCTTTTATAAGTTTATAATTTTACTAGTAGCCCTGTGCACAAATCCGTGCGCCTGTAGTTAGCTGCCGCCCTCCTGTAGCTCCCTCTGCCCACCCCCCCCCCCAATAGCTTGCTGCCCTGCCCCCTCCTGCTGATCCGTGATCTGGTCATTACTAGGTCGTTATGAAATGACCATTTGCATATTACATCGTTATGAAATGACCATTTGCATATTACATCTTTATTATATAGGATATTTCACATTTAGATTTCTGATCTATTTTTGTATAAGGTATGGTATAGATTGAAGGTTGAGATTCATTTGTTTGCATGTGGATGCAAATATCCAATTGTTCTAGCATCATTTACTGAAAAGAATATCCTTTGTCTATTCAATATCTTTGTACTTTTGTGAATATCAGTAGACTTTATATTGTGTGGGTTTAGTTTTGGATTGTAATTGTTTCAGTGATTGGTGTGTCTGTCTTTTTACCAATACCACATTTGTCTTGATAACTAGCTTAGTAGTAGTCTTGAAATCAGGTAGTGTGATTCCTCTAACTTGGGTATTTATCAGATTTTAAAATAACATGTCAGTGTTTTCTGTATAGAAGCTTTAAATAAAAGCTGGAAATTAAAAATGAAAATTTAAAAAGTAATATTTTATAAATTAGAGGATTTTAAAGAACATTCTTTGAAAATTTTAATAATAGAAACTAGATGCTGCATAGGAAAAATGTTAAGGTTATGGACTTAATATTTTAGGGTCTAATGTCAGAGAGACCTATTAGTTGTAAATGTATGCTTTGGTAGAATTCTATGTAGTAATCCAGCTAATTTCACTGTTAGCATAATAATAGTATAAATTAGTACTTAGGAGTTATATGGGTGATTCCAAACTTAATAATGGGTAGGTAGTACTTTGAAAATTTGTTTCTGAGATTTTTCTTTGGAAATTAGAATCCATTTTTTCCTTAGAAATGTTGTTTTATATGAGTGAAGAGTTTCCAAAAACCTACTTAATTATAATGTAGCTGAACAGTGCTACTTTACTGGATCCTATAGAGTAAGTATATTAAATGCTGGAGTCATCTAAGTATTTTTTGGGAAGGGAAAGAGAAATTGAGCTCTATCTCAACTCTTGGCAATTTTGATGTTGATAAGGTATACTCTTTCTATACTACTATTTACAAATCTCCACTCTTCTTATATCAACTTTTTAAGGTGGCAGGGCTTCATAGACTCATCTGAGATTCATCGTCCAACTTTCCAAAAACAATTTTAGCATTTCACATTACTTTCAAGAGCTAGGCTGCAACAGAATCAGTCGTAGGTGCTTGTTGTAAATACAGATTTTTGAATACTTTGCAGAGATTATATATAACTCACTTCTGTGGAGTAGGACAGCAAAATATTTTCTTCCTTTCGTTTGTTTAACAAATAACACAGGCACTACTAGGTGCCTTTTAAAAGTACTTTAGGGAAAAGTATTAGAAATTCAGAGGCAGAAGCAGTAGTAAGGGTGGCTTGTGTGATAGAATTATCATTTGTAACATGGAGTACCTATGTACCTATACTTTACAGCCTCCTCTTATTACAGTAGTTTCCCTGTGTCCACAAGGTATATCTTCCAAGACCCCTAGTGGGTGCCAGAAACTGCAGATTGTACCGATCTTATATATACTCTGTTTTTTTTTCCTGTACATACATACCTTTTCACTTAAAGGAAGATCTTTACTGCTTTTTGGCAAAGCCTAACTGCCAATATCACTACTCTTGCACTTTGGGGCTGTTATTAAGTAAAATATTGCAATCCTGACAGTCAATTTGATAACCTAGCTGGCTACCAAGAGACAATAATGAGCCAGGAGAATACACAGCATGGATACACTGAGCAAAGGGGTGATACCTAGAGAGTCGGAGCAAGACGGTGTGAGATTTCATGATGCTACTCAGGACAGTGCACAATTTATAACTTACGAATTGCTTATTTTTGTAATTTTCCACTGATTATTTTCAGATCGCGGTTGAACACTGGTAACTGGGACCCTAGTTAAATTAACTTCGGGAAAGCGAAACCTAGGATAAAGGGGAATTCCTTCTCCCTCTTTCTCTTGTTTCCTCTAAAATTAAAATACGTGGACAAATTGGTAATTTTTTGTTGTTATGCCTGTCATTTATGTAATATTAGAAGCTCAGATTTGTTTTTAACTAATTTGCATAGTCTGTTTTTGAAATGTTAATCTTTCAGTGTTATTTTTATAATAGTCTTTTCCTCCCCAATTGATATCTTTTACCTCAATTTAAAGACACACAAAAAAGGAGGCTCAGAAACATTAAGCAACCAAATTACAGAGATAGTAAGTAGCAAAGCTGGGATTTGAGCACAGATTCATCTGACTTCAATGCCCAAGATTTTTTTTTTAATTTATCTTTATTGTTGAAAGTATTACAGATGCCCCCTTTTTTTCCTCATTGACCCCTCTCCTCTCTACTCCCGTCCCCTTCCCAGGCCTTCACCCCACTATTGTCTGTGTCCATGGGTTATGCGTATATGCATATAAATTCTTTGGTAGATCTCTTCCTCCCCCACTCCCCTCAGGAACCTCAGTCTGTTACATCCTTCTATGTCTCTGGATCTATTTTGTTTGTCAATTTATTTTGTTCATAAGTTTTCACATATAAGTGAGATCATGTGATACTTGTCTTTCTCTGACTGACTTGTTTCATTAGCATGATATTCTCCAGGCCCCTTCATGCTGTCTCAAAGGGTAAGAGATACTTCTTTTTTTTTTTTTTTTTTTTACAGCTGCATAATATTCCATTTTATAAATGTACCACAGTTTGTTTGTTTTTTTTTATTCATCTACTGATGGGCACTTGGGCTGTTTCCAAATCTTAGCTATTGTAAATAACATTGCTTTGAACATACATGTGCATATATTCTTTCTGATTGGTGTTTTGGGTTTCTTAGGATATATTCTTAGAAGTGGGGTCACTAGGTCAAATAGCAGTTCCATTTTTAATTTTTTAAGGAAACTCCACAGTTTTCCACAGTGACTGTACTAGTCAGTCTACATTCCCACCTGCAGTGTACTAGGGTTCCTTTTTCTCCACATCCTTGCCAGCACTTGTTGCTTGTTGATTTACTGATGATAGCCATTCTGGTGGGTATGAGATGGTGGTACCTCTGTCATTTTAGTTTGCATCTCTCTGATGATTAGGGATTTTGAACATTTTTTCATATGTCTCTTGGCCATTTGTATGTCCTTTTTGGAGAAGTGTCTATTTAGGTCCTCTGTCCATTTTTTTTTATTGGTTTGTCTCCCTTTTATTGAGTTGTATGGGTACTTTATATATTTTGGAAATTAACCCCTTATCAGAGGTATCATTGACAAATATTTTCTCCTATACAATGGATTCCCTTTTCATTTTGATGCTGGTTTCTTTTGCTGTGCAGAAGCTTTTTATTTTGATACAGACCTATTTGTTTATTTTTTGTTTCTCTTGCCCTAGGTGTTGTATCAGTGAAAATTTTGCTATGTGAGATGTCTGATATTTTGCTATGTTTTCTTCAAGGATTTTTATGGTTTCATGATTTACAGTTATGTCTTTTATCTATTTTGAGTTTGTTCTTGTGTATTGTGTAAGTTGGTGGTCTAGTTTCATTTTTTGCAGGTACCTGTCCAATTTTATCAATACCATTAATTGAAGAGACTATCTTGACCCCATTGTATGCTTTTGCCTCCTTTATCAAGTATTAATTAAGCATAATGGTTTGGGTCAATTTCTGGGTTCTCTGTTCCATTGGCCTATATGCCTGTTCTTGTGCCAGTACCAGGCTGTTTTGAGTACAGTGGCTTTGTAGTATAACTTGATATCTGGTATTGTGATTCCTCCAACTTAGTTCTTCTTTCTCAGGATTGCTGTGGCTATTCGGGGTCTTTTTTAGTTCCATATAATTTTTGGAGTATTTGTTTTAGATCTGTAAAATATGCCATTGGTATTTTAATAGAGAGTTCATTGAATCTATAGATTGCTTTGGGTAGTATGGACATTTAAGTGATGTTAATTCTACCAATCCATGAAGATGATATATTCTTCCTCTTGTTTATATCTTCCTCTGTCTCTTTTTTCAGTGTCCTGTAGTTTTCTGAGTACAGGTCTTTTACCTCCTTGGTTAGATTTATTCCTAAGGATCTTAATTTTTTTTATTGCAGTGGTAAATGTGATTTTAAATATCTTTTTAGTTTCTCTTTCTGTGCGTTCATTATTGGTGTATAAAAAAGCCATAGATTTCTGGGTGTTAATTTTGTATCCTGCTACATTGCCAAATTCATTTATTAAATCTAGTAGTTTGGTGGAGCCTTTAGGGTGTTTTTTTTTTTTAATGTGCAATATCATGTCATCAGCGAATAATGACAGTTTTATTGCCTCCTTTCCAATTTGGATGCCTTATTTAGATTTTCGTCTTGTCTGATAGCTGTGGCTAAGATTTCCAGTATTATGTTGAATAAGTTGTGAAAGTGGACATCCCTATCTTGTTCCTGTTCTTAGTGGGAATGCTTTTCGTTTTTGCCCATTGAGAATGATGCTGGCTGTAGGTTTGTCATATATGGCCTTTATTATGTTGAGGTATGATCCCTCTATTCCCACTTTCCTGAGAGTTTTTATCAAAAATAGGTGTTGGATTTTATCGAATGCTTTTTCTGTGTCTATTTATATGATGATATGGTTTTTGTCTTTCAGTTTATTTATGTGATATATCACATTTATTTATTTACGAATATTGTACCAGCCTTTTTTGAGATGTCTTCTCGGATCTATGTGTTACTTAAAACTAATGTTTATTTAATAATAATCACATATTTTATGATTTTTCATCTTTTTTTCTGTTACCAATTTCTAATTCAATTCTATTGTGGTCTGAAAGCAAACTTTGTATGACTTCTATTCATTTAAATTTGTTAAGGTATGTTTTATGGCCCAGAGTGTGGTCTATCTTGGTGAATACTCCATGTGAGCTTGAGAAAATATGTATTCTGCTGCTGTTGGATGAAATGCTCTGTAAGTTTCAATTAGATCCCTTTATTTTTAATTGAGTGTTTATATTTAGAGTGGTTTCTTGTAGATACCTTATAGTTGGTGTTTAAAATCTTTTTAAAATTTTATTTATTTTAGAGAGAGAGGAAGGAAGAGAGAAATAATTGACTTACTGATGCACCTATTTATGAATTCATTGGTTAATTCTTGTATGTGCCTTGACCAGGGATTGAACCCACAATCTTGGCTAACGGGGAATACGCTCTAACCAACAGAGCTACCTGGCCAGGGCTATAGTTGAATTATGTTTTCTTATCCACTCTGTCAAGTCTCTGTTTCTTAATTATTATGTTAAGAACATTATTTTCTCTAAAGTGATTATAGTTGGATTAATGGATTTATAGCTATCATATTTGTAGCTCTTCTACATGTCGCATGTCTTTGCTTTTAAAATCTTCCTCTTTTTTTCTGCCTTCTCTGGTTTTAATTGAGCATTTTGTATGACCGATTTTTTTTATTCTCTTAGCATATCAATTATACTTCTTTAAATTTTTTGAATGGTTGGCCTAGAATTGCATTATACATTTAGTCTAATTCCACTTTTTTTAAAATTAGTAAGTCTTTATTGTTAAGATTATTACAGATGTTCCTCTTTTTTTCCCCCATTGCTCCCCTCCACCCCATTCCCTTACTCCCCCCCACTGTCCTCGTCTATAGGTGTAAGGTTTTTGTTCAATCTCTTCCCACACTCCCCACACCCCCTTCCCCCTGAGAATTGTCAGTCCACTCCCTTTCTATGCCCCTGATTCTATTATATTCACCAGTTTATTCT